ATATAAATCCGTCCGTTGATAGACTTCCTAAGGTCTTCTGACCTGAAATGTAGTGAACAGACTTTCGTACGCTCTGTTATGACGAAGGCCTTGCCTTCCTCTCGACGGATTGCGTGTATCCACTGTTTTCTTATCAGAGGCGCTTTAGGAAAGTTAAAGAAAGAAACCTTTTCTCCTAATGACGATGTGTAACCTTTCTGATTGCAGTTGGGTACGCAGCAGAACGAAGGCATCGCGAAATGATTACACAACAACACAAAGTCAAAAGGACGCGCAGTCAAAACAAAGCATTAGAGGACTGACTAGCCTCGCTTCCACGCTATTAGTTCCGGGCCGTCCGAGTGGTCCGCCATATTTGCATTCGGTGTATAGGTATCCTCTATTCTTAAAGCGTATTATGAAACTCTGTGCGTTTTTTTATTGAACGTGGAGCGTGACGAATTCGTTCTTAGCAGGCGAAAGGCTTCTTCTTTTACGAATCCCGTATTTACGCCAGACGGATGACATGAAATAATCGTGTATTAGAAGTGGGCCGATGGGTAATTGAAGTGCACGGTTGACAAGGCTTGGATTTTCAGTAATTATTAAGTGAATGTAATCTGAAGCTATGGAAATTGCGAAATCACAAACATTACCTAGAGATCTTTCCGTGCAAATGACATATCTGGCAGTAAAACTTAAATTCGTTCAGCCTTGTGAGAACATAGAGTTATAAACTCGCCAGCATTAAAATATCCTTTGGCAAATCCTTGATCCTTAGAAAAATCCTTTGTGAAAACACGCGTTAATCATTTTTAACTTTCGCTTGGTGCGACACGAGACAAAACAGCTGATACATAATAACGAGACAGTCCATGGAGCCTTGCGGCCCTGAGATTAGTTTCGAGTCCAGTCCGTGCGGTTGAGGTAACGCAACAAGAAGGTCTCTGTAATGCGTTAAACATACAACTCGCGTCGAAGAATGTATTTTCTGAATTTTTTACTGTTCACACAGCCATCGACTGTAAATGTAACTGCTACCATTTGTGTAGTTTCCTAGGCAAGAGTGCAGTTTCGATTCTTTCTGAACCTCGCCAGTTGCCTCTTAAGTGCGAATTCGTCACGGAGGAATGACAGGAGTCGCGCAGGCCCGTAAACACTTTTAATAATTAAACTTTTGAAGGAACGGCGACAGATAGTGAATCCTCATTACATTCCACGTTAATTCACGCTATCTCGCTGCAACCAAAGATGTTCACTCGACCACGGCAGGCTGCAAATGACTCGCTTTTTGTATTACAACCATGATACAACGTATTCAGAGTGCGTACATCGCCTGCATCATACCTAACTTTTAGATGGACAATGAACACCTAGTGTTTATTGATGGACACTCTGAAAAACCTTAAATTATTATTGCAATCGTCTTGACAATTTCCTCGCTGGCGAATTTTGGGGGCACGACTCGGATTCAGAGAAGAAATTGGAAACAACTTCGACCGTATAACGTACCGACATGAGCATGTTAACGAGTACGCTAGGTATCTTATATCTCCTTAAAATAGTTTTATAGTAGATCGTCGGTATGCATTAATTAGTTTAGAGTGCTTCAGATCTTTGGTTTATTTATGGAGTTTGAAACTCTTCCCTACTCATGCTCAACACTTAAATCACACCAATTTTAACTCACCTCCGATTACGCTTCCACCAACAACCCTGGCTGCCGCAACAATGCTACCAGCTTGCGCTTAAATTGTAAGATTCAATGACAAATTGTTAGATTCAGTGACAAATTAGGCAGGAGAATTATAATAAACTGACAGAGTTGGGTTTAAATTTTGAGTTCTGATCAATATATAGCATATTATGGTCACTCGATGAACGTTATTTGAGCAAAGACTCTTAGATACTTTCCCGCAAAAAATGCGGGAAAGTATGAATTGCAGAGGACCAAATGATCGTTACCTTTCCTTCTTTCAAATTCATCCTCATCAATTCGTCACTTCTCGAAATCCTGAACTTTCATCACCAGATCTTGCCTCTCAATTCCCGATAAAATCCCTTTTAAGAAATCAAGACGACCAAACGCAAAAAGTCCCCACCGTTCAAGTTTTTCGAACAAAATTCGAACAACCTGAGTGTTTCTTTCATTTTCGTCCAAAGTTTCCCTCGCAGTGCAGACAGAAATGAGCTGCTGCAGTTGATTGCTTTCGTCGAGAGCGCGGCTGATCTGTTCAAGCAATTCTTTATATTCTTTCCTTTTGTCCACGAACTTTCTCACTTTCTGAAACAACGACCATTCTCCGACCGCTTTCAGAAGCTCTTTCCATAGCTCAACTTTATCAATGGCCAAATTATTTCGATCCTCTAGCTCTCGAAAGAGCGAAAGTGCATCGGGGATGTCTTCTGGTCTTGACGCCACAAGCCCTCTACACATTAAGATTATGTGTTCATGTTCGTTCAGCTGATCGAGTCGTTGGCTTATCTCAAAAAGAAGGTGATTATATTCTACGTAAGACATTTTAACCGTCGTTGCTATGCATCTAGCATTTCGATCGAGCGCAGTTCGTGTAAATTCACAATCTGGCAGAAGAGTTTCATTCGATGTCACGCACAGTGGCTAGGTTTACACGCGATCGAATATACGTCAAATACCATCACATTAGTCCACAGATGGATCTTGGATCGGACTTGGGACTGTGAAGTGCTTACTCCTTTAATGTAGTCTCCTTTCGTGCCATAAAAAATTACTTAGCATACAACCACACGCGTGAAATATATCGCACTATTGATCAAGAAAAAATTTCATAATTCATTTATAAATGAGTAAGTAAATGGTTTAATTGGAAGAAATGCTGAGAAATTCTTAACGCGGGAATTAGTTAACCCAATTGAAAACTCTTTTTCGGAACATGGCTTTGATTTGCATTTAACGATTGAATCAAAGCTCTTGGTAAAGTTGAATATTAATTAACTAATGAAATCACTGAGTTGTTTTAGATCGTAAAAGGTGTCCCATGCATACATCAGTTAGAGTACTAAGTTAAAGAGAAACAGTATACGATGTGCTGACTTAAAGTGTATGGCATTATCAGGTCAATCAAAAAAATCAAAGAGTCTATGAGATACCCAATCAATGATTTCGGTAATGAGTAGCTATTAAAATTAAGGTAAGAGGGGGGGGGGGAGTAAAGGACAACGTCCGCAAAGTACAAGCTTAAAATAACAGATTTGAACCTTTCCCTCATATTAGTTCAATGAGGTTGAAAGGCCTATTGAACGAGAATGTGCATTGAATTCGCCGTATATGTGACCTATCTTCGCAAATTCAATAACTATTCAATTAGCTTAGAGACACTGAACACTCAGTCAAAGTTAGGTTTATTGCAAAGAATTGGACTTTTTCTTCACCTTATTAAAGTAGTGTTTCCTTGGCATTTCCCATTTCGTGTTGCAAACATGTGAAAGTCACCGACTGCACTGGTCAAACTGCATTGGCCCTGCGCTGCTACTTCATTTAGCTCCGTTGGTGTCAAGTGTGGAATGAATCCCGGACGGGCCTGAATTTTTTCAGGCCTTATTTCAACTGCTAGTTCAGTAGTGATCATAACTGCGAGGATCGCTTATTTAACTTCAGTCCTGGATGTTTTGCTATGAACCTCTACTTCGAGCACTAGCCCCAGTTTCCCCCGCTCGCGGGTCTTGACTCTTCAATTTGCTGTAAACAAACCACTTGTGTGGCTTTGCGCGCGGGAATGCGCAGATTTTTGTTTCTCTCAACCCAAGAGAAAGGAAGGAAAGTGTTTCTTAACCCCTTGCACCCTAATATCAGAGTTCATTTTCTCCATACTGTTCTCTTTACATTTGCTAAGTGATGATGATTTGCATTTCTCAAGCCGTTTGTCATTTTTTTTTGTGAATATTTAATTATCTTAGCGCAACGCGGCAAAAATAGATCAGGTGACTAATTATTTAAAAACCTAGAAGTTCGTTACGCAACTTACATTTCAAAAGTGTCACCACAGATCGCACTTCGAAGCTTACTAGCCGCATATGGAACACAAATTGTAAGTATAATATTTTCCCGTCGCTTCAACCGAAATCGACATGTGTAATAACCTTCTTTGTCATATTAATTTAATTTTTCAGTTGACTATACTACTACAAGTGCAAATAAATTCCATGTACGGTCATGTACGCAAAAATCAGTTAGTGGTGAAATCTTCAACATAAAGTAGCCCTTCAATCACAGGAGCGAATCAATCAAAATTTGTTGCAGAAGATTACGCCGAGTTACTAACTACCGCCAAGATTCGCATTTAAATTCCGCTCACAATGCCGCCGAAGGTAGACGTGAAAACTCTCGCGGGAAAACTGGACAATGCCGTCAAACTCTTGTACGAATTAATGGAAGAATTCGAAACAATTTTCTCCGTAAAACCGGAACTAAAAACACTTGAAGCAGCATTCAGTTTAGTAGAAACCAAGTACAGGCTGGTCAAGAAACAGCAGGAAACAATTCTGGATAGACTGGTCGACGAAGGCACTGGCCCAGAAGACGAACTCGTGTTAGCAACAAAGAAAGTTGGAGACAAAACCAAAGCTGATTTCCTTCAAATCACTTTAAAGTTTGCTGCATATCAAAAGGAACAAAACTCCTCAGAAAATTCTAACAATGCGACAACTCTGGAAGCGCTAACATTATCAATGTCGTCCATGACGTCGGCGGTGCAGAAAATGGCCGATAACATCGGATCAAAACCGTCAAACTCAAGTTTACAACGATTACCTGTACCAGTATGGGACGGAACTCGCAGAACCTATGCCACGTGGAAAAAGGAGTTCAGCCATTGGATGAAGAAATACGGTCAGGATAAAGATGAACAATTGCAACGTTTTCGAAATGCAATGCCAAAAGGATCGTTCTGGACCGACCAAGTAAAAACTTGTAAAACCATTGACAGCGCGTGGATCATTTTGGATACAAAGTTCGCAGACAGACGAAAACTAATGGACGAACTGCACACCGAGATTAATAATCTTAAAGCAGTCAAACGAGATTCTAAGTCCCTAACGCATTTCGCTACGACAATAGCCTGTTATGTAAGTGACATGGAAGATAATATTGGGTGTCCTGTGCTGGAGTCAGTTGAAGCGCCGTTCCTCATGTCCCAGCTTCTGTCCAAACTCGATCCAAGTGACAATTCAGATTTTGGTAGAGAAATGAAAAGAGAAGGAAAAGAAGAAACCGTGAGCAATCTAATCACCTGGTTACATCAAGAAGCGAGTATTCGTTCCCGAGGGAAAGCGAACACCAACACAGTGGAAAGAAACGAAATTCGCCGAGACAAAAGTCCCAAAAAGACAGAAAATAACGCCACTAACAGCGAGGATTCTGACGATGAAACATGTCCTCTTGGCTGTAAGACCAAACATCACCTGGCTGCATGTCCTAAGTTTCATATTCTAACAGTCAATCAAAGGTGGGAGGTTGTAAAGCAACATTGGCGATGTCGCAAGTGTCTGAGTGCGCATCACACAAACGATTGCAAGAAACCAGACGGCTCAACCTGCGGCAAATGCAGAAAAAACCATCACCGGTGCCTACATAATGAGAAGACTGGAGAAACTAACACAAGTTTGAATCCCAAAGCACCACCGTTTCAAAGTCAGTTCCAAGGGCCCACACCTACATCGAATGGTAACATCCAGGGGAATGCTGTGTACCAGAAAAGCAAGTTGAAACCTGTTACTGGACTTTGCCCTGTGCAATGTGATAATATGTTCTGATCTCACTTTAACAGTAAAGGAAAAAAAATCACAAATTTTCAATTATCAGTCACGTTTCTGCCTTGGCCAATAAATTTCATTAGATTATGTGGAATTTCACCATCCTTCATGAGTGGGGACACTCTTCGTCTACCGTGCACAATATCTCACCTTTCCCGTTCTCTTTCTATCAAATGAAATCGCATTCTGAATGCCACCAAATGCGCACAATACGCGGGGGATGGTATGGATACTACTCGTGTGCACCTGACGTAGGTACTAGTATGACACAACTGATACATAAGGGCCTGGATCTCGTCTTCTTTGAAATTAATGTCGTCCCACAGCACGTGATAATGCGAAGGACGGCTGGTGCCCTGCAAGAGGAATGGGCGGGTTCATTACCGTCTTGTCTTTACTCCAAAAGCAACCAAAGAAGCCAGAATCGAAGATTGGTTTGAAGTTTAGCCTTTAGAGATAGGCGGAGGGGGGAGGGGGGAGGAATGAGGCCTCCGGGACTGGTGAATTAAGGGCGTGATTGTGGAAGGATGATAGAGGTCTTTTTTGTTTAGGGAGATTTGAAATCTAAGGGGTAGGGATATTTAATGGTTCGTCTCGCAGTGGTGGTCATAGACAAGACAGAAGTCCGCAGATTTTGGCCAAAGCTGTCCAAGTTCATCCTGAGATGTTAAAAGGGATGTACTTCGCTTGAAGACACTTTGTGAAGAGTAACTTAATTAGTCACCGACATATTGCTATTTATTTTAGTTCACACTCCATAGAATTTTGCCACGGTCTTATCCTGAATTTTTCAGCATTTGCTCATTTTCAGAGAATTGAAAATTGCCTCTATATTTGAGATTTAAATCTTCTTGAACCTTATGTAATACTTCCTAGGGAAACACAGGATATTTACCTTTTTTCTTTTAAAAGACTGTATATGCCACTAATTCTCTAGGAGATTACAATGGAATGGATTAACCTTACTATTGGTTTTTTTCTTTTGTAAGAGTTACTTAAATATTAATCTCTTTTGTGAAAAGAAAACTTGATGATTATTCATGGCGGATGAGAAATAGAATTAAGAGATGAAGAAATTGGATAGTATTAGTGGTCACACAACTTTTTAAAAATATTCTCACCTCTAGACTCAACTAAAACGTAACTTAATAATTAGGCATATCAAAAATATATTTTTGTAGAGGTAAATGAATAGTACGTCTTATATTAATCAGAATTTTATTAGCTCAATCAGCTCATGAAAAATGAACATAGCTGTAAGAAAATGCACAAAAACAAAATCAAACGAATTAAAAGAAGTGTGCAAAGCATATCGGTCATGAATGTTATTTGTGTCGTGGTTCAACTTCAGTCTCATCGAAAAAACATTGAATTTAATGAGACTTTCAACTGAACGTGCTGCGAGTGACGAGCGTAGGTGATGTCCAGAGCAGAACTTTTTCATCTTTGGACTTTTTGTGGGTTTCTTATAGCGGCATAGTGATTGAAAAGTCTTTTGCCTAGTAACCACTCACCTTTTTACCTTTGTGACGTAACACAAATTACAGTTCACGTACGATGCAATACGCCTTACACTGTAATTCGCCAAAATCATGTTTTCAATGTCTTCTTAAAGGATTAAATTTTGAGAACAAGTTCGATTTTAATGCGTCTGAAAACATGTCCATTGATTTTTCAACCTAAAATCTATTCAGATTTGTTCAAGTCACGTTGCCAGAATGGAATGGTTTT